GGGGTCCAGCCCCAGGTACTCACCTGACGGGGCTCGAGTGGCGGTCTTGGGGACAGAGGGCTTTCGAGAGAGGGGTGCCCGGCCTCCCTTGTCACTAGGCTCGCTGCGGGCGCTGAGTGGCCGGCTGGCCCTGTCCCCACTGGCCAGCCCCTTGGCTTTGGTCGCGGCTGCTGGAGCAGCTTTGGGGGCGGTCCCGCCGGAGCTGGGACGCGCCACGGGCTTCCGGGAGGGTCCTGGGTTCTCAGTCTGCCGCGCCGACTTGGGGGGTACCATCTCTGGGTCCACCATGCAGATGCCGGGTGGGTCAGGCAGTGGCGGGGGGACCTTAACGGGGTCGGGCAGGGGATCGTGGAGGGCACCCCCCAAGCCCTCCAGGTCGTTGTCCGAGTCCGCAGCCCCGGGGATGGCGGGCAGGGGGTCTGAGTCCGACAGGGTGGGCAGGGACTCGCTGATGGAGGTGGGCGGCGTCTCCTCCACCCCCAGCACCCCTGCCCGCTCCTGGGACCGGGCGCTGCTGTCGTTGGAGCTGCCGGGGGAAGCGGGCGCCGTGGGCACTGCCTTGCGGTGCTCGAACTCGCAGGGCGACACCAGGCACAGGTCCACGTCGTGCGGGGAGACTGAGCGCCGCGCCCGGGGGCCTCGCAGGGGGAGGCTGAGGCCGGCCTCACCGGCGGAGGGGGGAGGCGGCAGCACCTGCTCAAAGGACACCGACAGGGACTCGTCCACCTCGGTGGAGTGCGGGGAGCCCACCTCAGCAGGCAGCGAGGGCGTGGTCACGGTGGGCGTGGTCGCCGTGGGGGACGTGTCCGGCCCCGCCTCCCCGCTGCGCAGGGGGCTCAGAGACAGCCTCCCGCTGCCCTCGGTGGGACTCGGGGCGCGCTCGGTGGGCGAGGGCGTGCGCGGCCGCGGGGTGTCGGACACCAGCAGCATCTTCTCCTCGAAGCAGCTGCTCTCGTCCCCGGCCGGGCTCAGCCCCAGCTCCAGGTTGCTGTCCAGGCTGGGCGTGGCCTCCAGCTGCGAGGCTGGCGAGTTGCAAGAGGCCGCAACCGGATTGGTGTCCCCGTGTGGCAAAGCCGGGAGACTGCAGGGTCCATTCTCCACCGATCCGAAGCCCGGGTTGGGCATGCTGGGCGCTTTGCGGAGTTTAGGGGCCACCGGGGCACCCACCTTCTTGACGTTGGCTGCAGCCGAGGGGACCCGGCGCACCTCCCGGGGCTGCGTCCGTGCAACACTGGTTCGCGAGTCCTTCTTCACCTCCTGGGGACCGGACTTGGCGTCCTTCTCCGTCCTGCGTGGGGCCTCGGCCCGCAGGGGCTCCTTCCGGGCCCCCCTGGGGCGTTCCTGGGCAAGCCTGCTGGGTGCCGAGGCCCGGCCGTCCTTTCTCAAGCTGTCCCGGGAGCCCACACTCTCTTTGCTCTCGGCCCGCCGGGGCCCCTCCAGATCCTGGGGTGTCACTTCGGGCTCCCGCAAGAACTTCAAATGTTGCAGGTGAGCCAGGCCTTCCAGGAGACGGGCCGGGGGCGTGCAGCCGGGGAAGAGCACCCGCAGCACCTTCTCGGTGGGGTCGGCGGGGTGCCACACCAGCAGGACGCACACCGAGGCCGACGCGCGTTCGGGGCCCGCGGAGGGCGGCTGGAGCACGTGCATGTCCAGCCGGCCCACGCCCACCTTCTGGAACAGCACGATGGGCTTGGGGGGCAGCGGCCCACGGCTCAGGGGCAGGGGCGTGATGCCCAGCTGGGCCAGGAGCCCCAGCGCCACCTCGGCCTCGTCCTGGCCCCGCACCAGGCGCGACGCGGCCTCGCAGGCGTTGAAGAACACCACGCCCAGGTTGGGCGAGATGAGCCGTCGCAGCCTGTCGTTTAAGGAGCCGTTGGCCGCCACCTCCGGGCGCTCCGCCAGCTTGCGCCTTAGTAAACTATTGAGGCCCGGGAGGCTGTCGGCCCCGGCGTGGGTCACCAGCACTGCGTCCACCCGGTCCAGGTGCCGCACCAGCTTCCAGAAGCTCGACTTGGGGTTCGAACCCCCGTCGACCAGCACGGTGAAGCCATTGACGGCAAAGAAGGCGGCGTCCCCGAGGCCCCCCGGGAAGATATAGCAGCAAGGTTCGGGGATCCTCAGGAATCCCCCAGAAGAGGGAGGCTCCAGAAGCTCGAACAGGGACGGTGGCTCCAGAGACTCGTTCAAGTAGCTCAGGAACTCGCGGAGGCCCTCGGAGGTGGGCAGCTGAGCCGGAGGGTTCAGCCGCAGCCGGAGCACACCTTGCAGGCCGGGCACGTCGGGGGCCAGCCCGGCCCAGTTGCCGAAGGTCGGGCAGGTGATGGTGAGTGTGGGTGGGTCCGAAGGAGGGGGCGTGGAGGACAGGAGGTCATGGATCTGCAGGTGCGGGAGTGAGAAGGGGCCATCAGGGCTGGGTGACACCGCGCTCCTTGGGAAGATGGGGTGAGGACATCCCGACCTGCCTCCCGGGGCTGAGAGGGTCCTTTGCTCCTGCCCCTTAGGGACTCAGGACAAAGCCCAGATCTTCCTAGGACCCCAAGGCCCCGTGGTCTGGCTTCACCTCCCCTCCCCTCCCCTCTCTTTTCTTTTTTTTTTTTTTGGAGAGGTTTATTTTTTATTTTTTTTTATTATTTTTTGTTATAGGGCGCGTGTGCTCGCCAGAAAGGCAGAGAGAGACAGAGAGACAGAAAGTGAGAAATCACCCCCCAGGGGGCATGGCCACGCCGCAATCCCTTCTCCTCCATCCTCCTCTCGGGATCTTGGGCATGCACGCACACATGCCTGGCGTGAGTTTAAGTTTAACCAGGTCTGGGATTTGAACTGCAGTTGACTACATGGGAGTCCAGCGACATAGGCATTATGCCTAATGCTGGTCTCTCAAATTTTTTTTTTAAAAAAGAAAGAGTTTATGGAAAATGCATATTATGAAAATACTATGGCTTTTTTTTTTTTTTTCTTTTTTGCCATAGGGCATGCACGCCCACTGAAGACAGAGAATGGGAAAGTAAGAACTCAGCCTCCAGGGGGGATGGCCATGCCACAATCCCTTCTCCTCCATTCTCCTCTAGGGATTTTGGGCACACACATGCCTTGTGTTATTTTCAAGCTTCTGGGACTCAAACCGCTGTCAGCCACGTGGGAATCCAGTACCTTAACCACCACGCCATCTGCTGGCCCCAAATTCGTAATTTTTTTATACCAAAATAAACTCATACTTTAACTCCCTTTTGTTTTTTGGAGAGGTTTTTGCTATAGGGCACGTGTGCTCGCCAGACAGAAAGAGACAGAGAGATAGAAAGCGAGAAATCACCCCCAAGGGGGGATGGCCACGCCGCAATCCCTTCTCCTCCATTCTCCTCTCAGGATCTTGGGCATGCACACACACGCGCCTGGCGTGAGTTTAAGCCACCGGGTCCGGGACGCGAACTGTGGTCGACTATGTGGGAGTCCAGCGACATAGCCATTACGCTAATTGCTGGTTCCCGACTGGCTCCATCTTGTTAAATTCAAAATGATTTCTCTCTCAGCCTGATATTCTCTGAGATCTCTCATGGAATTCCAAGGAGACAGATGTTCAGGAGCCTGAAATAAAGAGGGAAGGGGGGCCGGCAGGTGGCGTGGTGGTTAAGGTACTGGAGTCCCACATGGCCGACTGCAGTTTGAGTCCCGGACCTGGTAGCTTGCTTTCTCACTCCCCTCTACCCCCAATCAAATTAAAAATTAATAACAACTACTAATAAAATTGAATGAATAACTCTTTAAAAAGAAAAAAAAAAGGGCTGGGACCAGCAATTGGCATAATAGCAATTGGCATAAGGGCTACATCACTGGACTCCCAAGTAGTCGACCACGGTTCGAGTCCGGGACCTGGTGGCTAAAACTCATGCTGGGTACGTGTGTGTGCGTGCCCAAGATCCCAAGAGAAGGGACTGCGGCATGGCTATCCTCCCAGGGGGTGATTTCTCGTTTTCTGTCTCTTTCTTGCGAGCTCAGGATCCCTATAATAAAAACCTCTTAAAAAAGTTGGAACAGCAGGTGGAACAGTGGCTAGGGTACTGGGCTTCCACATGGCCGACTGCAGTTCAACTCCTGGGTGTGGTTGCTTGCTTTCTCACTCTCTCTCTCTCTCTTGCTATTTCTCTCTGGGGAGCACACAGATCCTATGATAAACAAAAAAATAGGGCCTGGCAGGTGGCATGGTGGTTAAGGCACTGGACTCTCACACTGCCGACTGTAGTTTGAGTCCTGGATCTGCCGGCTGGGTTTTTCTCTCTCTCTCTCTTTCTCTCTGTTCAAATTGAAAAATGAATTATGTAATTTTATTGATTCATTCACTTATTTTAATTTGACCAGAGAGAGACATACAGAGAGAAAGAAAGTGAGAAAGCAAGCCACCAGGTCCAGGAGTCCAATTGTGGTCAGCCATGTGGGAGTGTCCAGCGTCTTAACCACCACGCCACCTGCTGGTCCCCATAAATTAAATTCTTTTTTAAAAAAACTATAAACAAATAAGGGGCCAGTAGGTGGCGTGGTGGTTAAGGATGCTGCACTCCCCATGTGGCCAACGTCACTCCAGTCCTGGACATGGTGGCTTGCTTTCTCACTTTCTCTCTCTCTCTCTCCCTGGTTCAATTAAAATAAATAAATAAATAAAGGATCAGCAGTTGACATAATGGCTATGTCGCTGGACTCCCATGTAGTCGACCGCAGTTCGAGTCCCAGACCCGGTGGCTTAAACTCACGCCGGGCACGTGTGCATGCGTGCCCAAGATCCCGAGAGGAGAATGGAGGAGAATGGAGGAGAAGGGATTGCGGCGTGGCCATTCCCCCTGGGGGTGATTTCTCGCTTTCTGTCTCTCTCTGTCTTTCTAGCGAGCATACACATGCCCTATAGCCAAAAAAAACCTCTCCAAACAAGATAGATAAATAAAATTAAAACAAACTAACAAAACTCGATCCTTGCTTTGCTCTGGATGGCCGTTAGCCCTACTGTCTCCCTTCCTCTGTAAGAGCATCTGTAGGGGCCAGCAGGTGGCGTGGTGGCTAAGGCGCTGGACTCCCACAGGGCCAACCCCGGTTCAAGTCCCGGGCCTGGTGGCTTGCTTTCTCATTTTCTGCTTCTCTCTATCTGTCTCTGTCTCTCTCTGGTGAGTGCACGTGCCCTGAGGCCATCTGCTGACCTACAGGCTCAGCCTCACATGGTACCCTTCCTAGATGATGGGACTGACCCCTGATGACCAGGAGGCACGCAGGAGGGGAAACCGAGGCAGGGAAGATAGCAGGGTGCTGGGGCCTTGCAGCTCAGTGGGGATGAGTCAGGATCCAGAGCTGGGGATGCGACTTACCTCCTTGTCCTTCAGCACCTGGAGGAAGTGGTAGGGAGAGAAGCCCCCCGTCTGGAGCAACAGCTCCCCCGTTTTCTCCAGACAGGGCCCAGCCAGTACCAGCAGCTTGTGAGGGGTGGGGTCCAGCAGAAGGTTCCGGAGCTGGGGAGAGGGGAGAGCGTTCGTGATCCACCCAGTGACTCCCTGACCCTGAATCTACACGGAACCACCTGTGCCCACCCCACGGGCAGCCTCGGGGCCTCCCGCTGGGTCCTGCCTCCTGGCAAACTCCCGTTCTTCCCACAGATGCCTGGTTCCGATGCCGTCTCCTCCAGAAAGCCCTCTCTGCCTGTCTCTCCCTCTGGTCCAACCCTGATCCCACAAGGCTGAGGGTATCTGTGTCCGGCTCGGTCTCCTCCAGACTGAGAGACCCTGGATTAAACCAAAGGCAACTTTTTTTTTTTTTTTTTTTTTTTTTTTAAATTAAAAAGAGGCTTTTGGGGGCCAACAGGTGGTGTGGTGGTTAAAGGCGCAGGACTCCCACAAGGTCGATTGCGCTTCAAGTCCCGGACCCAGTGGCTTTCTTTCTCACTTCCCTTCTCTCTCTTTCTCTGTCTCTCTCTAATCAAACTGGAAATTAATAATAATAAAGTTAAATTAAAATAACTCTTTAAAAAAGAGGTCTTAGGGACCAGCAGATGGCATAATGGTGTGTCGCGGACTCCCACGTAGTCAACTATGTTTTGAGTCCCAGACCCAGTGGCTTCAAACTCACGCCAGGCACGTGTGCGTGCGTGCCCAAGATCCCGAGGGGAGAATGGAGGAGAAGGGATTGCGGCGTGGCCATCCCCCCTGGGGGGTGATTTCTTGCTTTCTGTCTGGCTCTCTCTGTCTTTCTGGCAAGTGCATGTGCCCTATAGCAAAAAACTCTCTGAAAAAATAAAAAAAAGGGAGGGAGAGAAAGCAAGCTGCCAGGTCCAGGACTTGAACTGTGACCAGCCACGTGAGAGTTCAGCACCCTAACCACGTCACCTGCTAGCCACAAAAGGCAACATTTTAAATCAAAGGAAGCAACCTGTAAGAGAGTCTGTAGTGGGGTGCCCTAGGGCTCCATTTATTTTTATTTTATACATAGGAGACAGGCAGACAGGCCCACAAGCCAGAAGAATTTGAGTCAGCTCAGACAAGAACTGGCCCAGCCAGCGAGAACCCTCAGGACACGAACACCTGTGGGATCCTGCCCTCTCACCTGCTCTCCCCTCCAGCACGCAGGCCTGGGGCTTCAGCTGCGACAGCTCACCCACCCCTTCACCCCAAATCCAGCCTTTTGTTTTCAATTTCCTATAGGGCACGTGTGCTCGCCAGAGACAGAGACAGAGAGAGGGAGGAAGAGAGAGGGAGAGAGAGAGAGAAAGCACACCAATGGGGCAGGGCCAGCCCACAATCCCTTCTCCACTCTCCTCTCGGGATTTGGGGCACACATGCACACAGATGGCTGAGTGTTTTGCAGGCCTCGAACTGCACAGATGGCTGAGTGTTTTGCAGGCCTCGAACTACACAGCTAGCCATGTGGATCCCCTGCCTTCACCCGGGGCTCAATTCCAGCTTTTTTTTTTTTTTTTTGTGCCCCCACTCTGGAGGAGGGAAGAAACCGAAGCTGAAGGTCTGGAGGAGGAGGTGCCGGGGCCGGGTGTCTCGAGGAGACTGTTTCAGGCAGCATGACGCAGGGAACACGGAGATCAGGACAGCCACCCACGTCCTCCAGGGCACCACCCACTCCCTACCTCGTCACACAGGGACTTGTGCGATGGGTTCAGGAGGACCAGGGTCTCCAGGGTGTCCCCGCGGTGGTGGAAACTCCGCTGGCCTACGGGGGAAATGAGACGGTCACTTGAGGTCAGGCTGTCCTGGCGTGAAACCTCGTCTCCCCCTGCCATGGGACCCTCAGATAGCACGAGGCTCTCAGGAACCTGCCCGGGGGTCACCTGGGAACTAGTTCATGGCACAGGGTCCACGGGCAGGACCCGACCTGAAAACGGCAGTAACCAGAAAGAGGTGGGCGGGGCCTGACTGGCAGCGGCTGGCACCGTGGGGGATGGCAGTGTCACATCTAAAAGGCTGTACCCATTTGACAGACGGGAGCCTGAGCTCAGAGACAGCCAACGAATGCATGCTGGAGAGAAGGGCTCAATAAAGCTAAAAGCCAGAGGAGGCTGGACTGAGCCGTGAGCAGGTGCATGAGGGGCGGGGCCGCGCGAGGGGCGGGGCCGCGCAGGTCTTCCTTCTTGGAGAAGAGCCCAGTTCCAAACACAGATGGTTTCAAACACAGAGACCCAGGCCCTGAATCGGAAGGGACAATAGCCCGTGGGCGCTGGGCATTCTTTATCATACTTAGCATTCTGCTTCTCCCACACGGACACTGCCCCATTCAAGCCGGGAAACCAAGGCACAGAGAGGGGAAGAGGCTGCCGAAGTCGCACAATGGAGACAGGATTCCCAGCCCTGCCCCCCTTGCTCCTGGAGGGGTCAGGAAGCCACCAGGATGCGCTGGGACAATGAGACTAGGGACATTTCCTTCCTTCCCCTCCTGAAGCGGCCTGGTCAGCAGGAGCAGGAGGGGTAGTGTACTATGCGCAGGCCCCACCCAGCAGCTGCTCCGTTTGCCTGGGGACACCCCAGAATCCTCGGGGAGCCTTGCGCTGGGTGGGGCTTCCCTAGATCTCACTCCTCAACTACCTGGCTGGGTGCAGAGGTCACAGCCGGGAGCCAGACTTGGTCTGTTCATATAAGGGCTCACATTCCATCCTCTGGGGTCTGCTCAGTGCCCCGCCCTTTTCCAGATGTTCTGTGCCCCCCCGCCCCCCCCTCCGCAGGGCCATAGCTGGGGTCCTTTCTTCCACTCAACACACCAACCCCAAAGTTCCCCGCCTCTTGGATACCACAGTTTCCTCATCTGTAAAACAGGATTAAAAACCACAATCTCCCGGTTTGGAGATTGTGCAGGACGGAGGGAGTGATCGCTGGGCCAGGGCTCACCTCTGCCTGGGCACTGGCCCAGCGAACAAGCAGAAGGCGAGCAGCAGGGACACAGGGGACCCCAGCCTCACCTTTCACGAGGCTGGAGAAGGTGGTGGAATGCCCGGATACAAAGAGCTTGAGCTGTTTGTCGATACTGCAGATGCCAGGATCGACGTCCCACGATCGGATCCCTAGTGCCAGAGTGGGCAGTGAGGGGAGGACAGTTCAGCCAGGACCCCCAGCTCCCAGAACACTACAATAACCAGTGCTTGGTGGATGGGGGGGCCGCCCCGGCCTCTCTCCCCTCTCACTTGCTGCAGCTTGGAGAGGCAGAACCCCTCAACACCCTTGGCTCTCACACTGTGGCCGAGTCTGGGAAACAAAGGCCACCTTAGCTTTTTTTTTTTTTTTTTAAGAGTTTCTTTTTTTGCTATAGGGTGCGTGCACCCACTGGAGAGACAAAGAGAAACAGAGACAGAGAAAGCGAGAAATCAGCCCCCAGGGGAGATGGCCAGGCCACAATCCCTTCTCCTCCATTCTGTTCTTGCGATTTTGGGTAGGCATGAGTTTCAAGCCGCCGGGTCTGGGACTCGAACCTTAGTCAGCTCTGTATGAGTCCAGCACCTTAACCACTATGCTCCCTGCTGGCTCCAAGTTTCAGTATTTTACAGACAAGCCTCGGGACACCAGCCACAAAGCCCCCACCTCCTGAATAGCCCTGTCCCCTCGACCTCCCCCTCCTCGCTGCCCCTCTGCTCTGTTAGGCACGATCCAAGTTTGGGTCTTTGCACCAGCTGTTCCCACGGCCTGGAGTCCCTTACCCCTGCCTCACCACCTGTTCCCAGGGCCAGGGGCCCTTCCCCCATGTTTCTCCCCTTCACACTCGACATGCTCAGACTGACAGCCATTTGCATCCATCTTTAGGAGTGCTCTTGACACCAGGCCAGCTCAAAACGTGTTCCCTCTCCTCGCTCTTCTGGGTCCATCCCCCACGGGACTGGGAGTCCTGTGTGGGCGGGGACGAGCCTCTCATCCCAGCTATGTCCCTGCGCCTGGCTGGCAGGAGGCCTGGCACACAGAAGGTGCTCAGGGTACATTTTGCAAGCGCAGGAACCGAGGCGTGTTGCTTCCATGCCTTTTTTTTGGAATGCAAGGTGCAGGCGTCCCGAGGGATGGGGATGGGGAATGACAGCCCTCCCGGTGCATAGATGCACCACACCCGCCCGCCCGGCCCACCCTGCCAAGTAGCTGCAGGTGAAACCTCGCAGGTGCACGCGTGACTCACCTCGCTGGGTGCCAAATCCCCCCCCGGGGCAGGCCACGCCCGCCCACACCCCAATTAGCAGCAGCTTCTACAGCAATGGAAAGTGGGCCCCGGGGCTGCAGGCCGAGGCGCCCCCTGTTTGCTCCTCCCTCCAGGGCGTCCAAGCTGCTGAGCTATGGGGATTTGAAGCGCCCCCGCCCTTCCTCCAAAAAACGGGCCCGGCGGGCGGGAAACGGAACCGTTGCCCAATCGTGCGAGTCCCC